AAAAAGGGAGATACCATTTGCCCTTTCTCCACTTGAGTAAGGGTAGAGTTGGGCAGTCAGGTGAAGCTGGGTAACATTCAAGGCAGGTGGACTCAAGGAGATAAAGGGGAGGCAACCCAACTTGCACCCCAAAACAATTGAAGAAAGAAAGGAAACCCCAAAACAACTGAAGAAAGAAAGGAAAAGAACCATGTAGAGACATTGAGAGACAAGTGTGTGAGAGACATGGGAAGCTGACAAGGGCACTGTTATCTTGACTTATACTCTGATTTTTCTCCTTTTGTCCCAACTTGCCGGGCCCTTTTCACCCCTATCCTGTGGTTTCCACCAAAAGGTGCCTTTACACTGTGGACAACCTTAGAGGATTAAGTGGCCCCACTTCAGGCCAACATTGATTGGGCATTTGCCCATAAGGTGATGGATAATTCAGGGTATTTTATTCAGAATATCCTTTCTTACTTCTTCATCTTCTTTCCTCTTCTCTTTCTATGCTCATCAATTCTATGAAAGTTCTTTCATACCATACCTCTGCTCTGACTTTTAGCACATGGATGGTCAGGTAGAGTGTGCAAATTTCAGTGCCCCTAAGTGCCTCTTGGTGATGTGTTAACATCCACAGTCGAGTGACTGTAAAGTAGTCTGGCTCACAGACAATTGGACCCAGTTGATGGCCCAGGCATCTTAAAATAACCCTGAACTTACTTTGATCTTTGTTCAATATAATACTAAAATCTCTCTCTGAGCAGCACAGGATTCACCTTGCATCTTCTGAACATACAATACTTGAAGAAGCATGTATTCCTGCTGAGGTCATTCCAAGCTGCTTCAATAGCTCTTCTCTTGCCCCTCATGTAGAATAATGTCACTTCTTGTTTTACTCCTTGAGGCCTATATAAGGGGCAAAATGTTGTCTTCAAGGGGAGCTGCTAACCCTTGAGGTCTCCCTGGAGTTTTCTGTTACTTTATTGTTTCAATAAATTTGAGGTTCAAAATCAACTGAGGTTCAAAATCAACAACTCTATTGTTTCAATAAATTTGAGGTTCAAAATCAAATGAGACCTCATTTCAATCTTGTATGAAGCATTCAAGAATTGACTACTGCTGGCTGGTAACAAAACTAGCATTTCAAAAGATCTACTATATGGAAGTATTTGCTATGCCAGAGTGGAAATAAGAAATAACAGTTTTCAAGGATTTATCTTAATGGACAGATTTCTTAAAAAATAAGTGATAGGAGGAACTTTGAAAGCTCGTGAGTCATCCCTATGTGAGAATGTCTCTAAAAATCAAGGGTAGTGGTTTGAACCGAAATATCTAGGCTCTAACAGCAGAATCTTGTTGAGGTATCACAACAAAGGCTTTAGGTATCTGTGAATAACCTAAAATTATGTTCAAAATCCTGCCAAGAAAATAACTATTTATGAAATTAGAAAAGGAACATTCAAGGTATTTAAGTACATTTTTAGTGATAACATTTGATTTAAAATTCTTGCAATTAAAATTATTTTCCTTTATATCTCTAAAAACTAATTATTAACTCTGTAGACTGAATGGAAGTCAGCCCTGAGAGAAAAAACATAAAATGGCATTCATAACTCATCCTAAATTTGGTATAATTCTTAGCTACTGACAAGGTTTTGAATATGACAATGGAAATAAGAAAATGTGATAATAAACCCAGTAAAGGTCAAATTCTAGTTGAGAATAACAGCTTGAGTTACACTGCTTAATGCAGTGGATTGACTATGGCTTCTGCGCACTCTCTTCATTAGCAAAAGGCTCTTAGAAAAGTCTTCCATTTTGAACAATGGCCAAAATGCCTATTTAAACAAAACAGGGAAGTGCATTCCTCAAAAACAGATACATTTTGCCAGTTGCTCATGAATAACAAATAAAAGTTACCTCAAAATTATAAGCCTAACATTAAACCTTTAGAATATACAATATTCTAAAACTGGATAATGGAATTCACTGTCTACCTCAGATGATCCCCCTAGTGCCCATCTTTCCTAGTCTAGATGAAGGTTACTATGCTGTTTAATCAACCACTTGGATGTCCCTACCTTTACTGCCACCTTCACCTTGTTCTTGTTCAAAAGGATCTGATATAATAATTGCTCTATAAGTTAAAATTATATTGAAGAAAATACACACACACACACACAGACATATATGTACCTTTAAAATAACTATTTTAAAGTGTTAAAGGAAAGGGCTTGGAAAGGAAATATTTGGTTATTGCATATTTAAGATAACACATTTAGCCACTAGATGTCACTCTTTTTTAAGTAATAAAGCCGACAGCAAAGATTATGTCAATAGCAGCTACATTCCAGTACAAGGTAAAAGCGGGCACCTTGGATCAAGCATTATGACTATATGTAAAAAGAAGTTTAAAGAGCAACCAAACAACAACAACCAGGTTTGTCTGAAAGAAAATCTTCATGAAGTCAAGCCTGAATTGAGTCTTGTCAATTTCCAAAGCCAGAAAGTTAAAGTGCAACAGTATTCATTAAAGTACAAAAACAAAAGATAAACCAAAAACCTGAAAGCATAATACTCATACAAATATGAAATGGGCTCTCCTGGTGGCAAAAAAGGGTTAAAGCACGGCACTATGAAGCTATCTGCAGCCACTACAGCATGAGATTGATTCCTGGCCAGGGAAGTGACCCACATGGCACAGCAGGTCTCTCCTGTCCAACCTGCAGCTCCCTCCATAGTGTATTTCAGTCAATCTGCCTGTTCTGTCTCTGATGAATTCTTTAGCCCTCTGCACCTCTGGCCTATGGCCCAATTCTTGTAGGCATAAATAAATCTTTAAATATATGCATATATTTAAAACAAATATGAAATGAACAGGAATAAAAGATCTCATTCAGCTCATTGTTTAGTGAAGGAACCACTTAGATGGTAAGGTTTATACAAGTGGGAACTCAAGAAATGGAGACAGTCAGTCTCTTAAAGGTCTGCTGAAAGAAACTTGGTGACAGATACAAAATTAATGTACCTATGATCGCAAAACCCTAAACTTTGGGACTGTTTTCTACTTGAAAGAAATGATCTTTACTATGCAAAAAGTCTACAAGTTAACAAGCATATTCCTGATGACCCTAGAAAGTGTTCCATATATTTATGCTGATCATATGACAATGCATAGTGTTTTATTTTCACAATAATAACCTGTGAGATGACTGAAAGGTCAAGGAATAGTCTTCAGGTATGGGCCAGAATTAAATAATCAAAACTAGAATGTGAATCTGTTTGGCAAAGTAAATCTTCCTCCTGGCATAGCGTCAACATTATGTTTGGAGTCTTCATGATGAGGCACCTGTGAGCACACCTCAACCCCTTTGCTTTCTCCTGCTCATCACCCATGTAGGACAAATAATGGTAAGAGAAATAACAAAACACGGTAGACCTATGTGTGCAAGATCACAGCATCCTAACACTTTCAATTCTCTGGTTTGTGTAGATTGCTTATTACTACCTACACACACCCAGCACCCATTGGCTAGCTCTTTGGGTTGGTAAGATACAGTCAATCCTCTATTAGAATTTATTTTTTAAAGATTCATTTTTTTATGTATATAAGAACTTGGATACAGACCAAAGGTGCAGGGGGGAGAGGGCATGAGGGGATTCACCAGAGACAGAGTGTGGAACAGAACAGGCAGAGGTACTGAAATACACTGCTGAGGGGAGCAGCCGGTGAGACAGGAAATGTCTGTTGTGCCATGTGGATCAGCTCCCAGTCTGCGGCTTCAGATAGCTTCATAGTGCTGTGACTTAACCCCTATATTACAATTTAAATAAGTGGAATATAGCCATGGTGGGGAGTCCTCACACAAAAGCAAGTGATATACAAAAAACAATTATGCTGAGTAAAATGTTGTCACTGGTGTCTGCTACAAATGAAGAGACCTTTTAAGTTATGCATGGTATTCTTATATGCTTTTGATATTTATTCAGAGTATTTGGGTAGATACATAAGATATCTAATGTCCTGACATTATATTTGAGACGGATATCTGACTAATAAAGTACCTGTCTAAAGAAAATGTTCTATTTTAAAATTTTAGAATCTTGAAAAATTTTTAGATGCGATTAAACGCACTACAGAAGATCATCCCAAATGTCTAGCTTCAAGGTTTATTACTTATCTCATCTTCAATTCTTATAAAGATTATACTACTCACCCAGTTGCTAGGACTCAGAAAACCAATCAAATATTATTATATTACCTATTAGAAGTCTAGACAGTCTCCTCCTCACACATATTCTCATACAAGAATGAAAAGGTATTTTTTTTCAAAAATATTATTTCATTATCTCCACACCAGATAAAAATAAAAGAAACACTCTAGTTCCCCAGTCAAATAAAAATGTGTAATTTGTTGGTGTATCACATTTGCATTTATACTTGCTGGGGAAAATGAAAAGAGTTATATAAAAGAGAAAAGTATTGCTTTTTATGTAGTCAGTCTGTTGTTCAGTGTTCAGCTGCTTCAGTTTTCATGGATTATAAAATCTTTTAGGACAGAAGATATTCCTTACAAGACCATCATATAATGTTTCTAGCTTTAAAGGTAGATGTAATTTTAATAATAACATACCACATTTAAGGCTCCATTAGGCACCGCTCTGGTTGCCTGTGATTTATTCATCAATGTGAGGAATCTGAAATTTTCTAAAGTCTAATTTTCAAAAAAAAAAAAGTAGTCTCTTTGCATTAAACCATCTGCTCTACATGATTACAGTGAGTCATTTTTAGCATTGAAGCATTCGTGTTTGTGATTAAATTTCTTGTTCAGCCAATTGAACTCTTTAAAAAGCATTTATTTCTGATAAAGCACATCATTATTAATAGAGCAGTACAATAATTATAATCAATTCAGTTTCTTATTGGATATTATCTTAAAGAACTCATGTAAATTTAGCATATATTAATGCAAATTAACTTATCCATCACTAAAGAAGAATATGAAGTTTGTACTCACGCAGGCTTAATCGTATGGACATGCTTTTCATGGACAAAGGCACCAGCAAGACCTCCTGCTCCTGAATTTAAATACTAGATTAAAAATAAATTAATTTATATGGGTATCTCTGAACATGTGACAAAAACAAACAATAAAATCACTTGATTTTCTAATAAAGTCAACTTTTATACAGTTTTAAAATTTTTACAATAAAACAGAATCTTGGGCTATCCTGTTCAAAGAAAAACAAGTGAAAACATAATTAATAAAGAATAAATTGGCTATTTTCATTTTTGATCAAATTTTACCACAACTAGTATGTAACAGTTCTACTGAAGTCTGATTTCAAAACTCATTCAAATATGTATTACCAAAACTAGAAATAATAAAGGTATATTTTAAAACATCCATATTAATTTAAATTAAAAATTTTGTTTCCATGCTCCCTGTTGATTACCTTCAAGTATCAATGCAAAGTTGATTATATAAGAATTAACATGTATAGAAATTCCATAATATAGTAACAAAAAGCTAAGAACCTAACCAATTTCAATTAATATCTAAATTTGAGACTTTTTTTCTAATACCTCCTGACTTTTCACAGCAGCCTAGGGATGAATGTATAAAGTTTTATGACTAGAAAGAGCAGAATTTAATCATTTATCAGACTATTCTCTCATATGATTTTACTGTTGGTATAGATTAGAAAACACAGTAATGGAGGAAATGGAGAAGTAATTCAAATGTTAAAATTCACCACCAGTCTTGTCTTTTAATTAGATTAATGGCATGTGAAATCAAAGGTTATGTGTATATAAAAACTAGTTTGTACCTTGTAGGAACACCAGCATGCAAAATCAACTCCCCAGTTGTGTAAGTGGAGTTCAACATTTCCAACTGCATGTGCTAGATCAAAGCCAACAAAACAACCCTGAGGAAGAATATAATAATTGTCAGTTTGCTTAGCAATTACAAAAGTAAGTAGAAATATCTTTTAGAAAATCTTTGATAAAAATCAATACCCTTTGGTGCAATGGTTCTAAAAGAGTAAACCGTGAAGCTCTGGGCATTCCCAAATCAAATAATTTAAAGTCCAAACAATTTCATGACACTAAGATATTTTTTGTCTTCTTCATTGTGCTAACATTTGTACCAATAATGCAAAAGCAGTGACAAGTAAAGAGCCTAGCACCTAGTACAAATCAATGCAGCAGCACCAGTAATAGTACCTGCATGTCAAAGTCATTCAGGCACAGGAGGAAAAAAAAGTATTGATGTCACTTAAAATGTTCCTTGACAAAATTGCAAAAGTAATAAATTTGTGTTAAAATTCAATGTCTTACTTTAGGCATTAAGGTATCCTAGTAAGGTTTGATATGGGAAATGTGCACAAAATATCTGCTCACATACTGCATGAGGTAACATGGTGTTTCAAAGGAATGAATTTGTGCAATTTTTTGAGTTGCAAGCTGAAGTAGCCACTTTCAATTTATGGAGGCCATTGTGCCATGAAAAAGCATAAGCAATAATAATTTGTAACTGAGTATTTGACAGGCTTTTTTAAAAAAAAGAAATTAAATGAATCTTCAAGGAAAAGACTACAGTATTTCTTGCCAATAAAAAGTAGCTTCTGAAAGAAATTATAATTTTAGAAAACTGTATCTAGTATGAGTTGACCACTTCCAAAATTTAAAGATATATCTTGTTAATTTAATAGTCATATAAAACCTTTTGTATAATATATAATGAAATGTAAATAATTGTGAAGCATAGTTGACTCAGTGGACCAATACTTTTCAAATGATTAATGTTAGCTTTATATATCATGCATTAATAAATACCTATTAAAATTGCAAGATCATCCAGTGGATTTCAATGCAACCACCTACAGAAAGTTCAAAGACTTTGTTTCAATCCCATACCACAATTCTCAAAAATTTCTCACTTCTCAAATTCTGTTACCGTATCAGAGTCCACTCTAAAGACAGTCAAACCAATTCTGACTACCTATCTGCATAGGATTGATTTTTTAAAATATGTTTCGCCAAGGCAAAATACTCAAGAGATTGAATGAAGAAGCATGTGTAAAAAATATGTTCTCTGAGACAAACTGTAAAGAAATTTTTCTTATATATGAAATATTCTTTTTTTGTTTCAGAAAATAATTTGTGAGCCTAGCAATATTAAGTATTTTATTACTTAATGGTTTGCTATTATTCTAAAATGTATTTTTAAATATCATCTTAACAGTAAACACAATGAACATAAATATAATAGCAAAAATCTCTTTGAGGTTATCAATATTTTTTAGATTGTAAATGGTTTCTATTACTAAAAAGTTTGAGAACTGTTGCATTGACATATCCACTCAATCTGAAAGAGTTAATGGAAGTTTTCAGTTGATCACTTAATCGTACATAATGCCCATATGTAATTTCATCAAATTGACTGAATTTGATTGGTTTAATTCTCCATCAGTGTCCATATACACAGTGGTAAGTTGAACTAATGATTCTCCTTTGCCTTGTCCAATACCCCTATCCTTTACCATGTAATGGTTTAGCATCTGCTATTGTGGGTATGATATGTATCTGTAGGATCTATCAGGTGACTTATTTGACCAATGGCTACTTTACACATTGGTCAATCACTTGAATGATTAGCTTGCTCTCTTCTACTTTCTGATATCTCAGTGAGGCTCTGCTTGCACTGATTTATTGGTCCAGAAAAAGAGGAAGTGAAAGAAATGATCAGAGATGGGTCTGCTTCGGCTCCTCGCCCCACCTCCCTTTAGCTGACCACAGATGCTTTAGTAATCTCAGCTACGATTAGCAGGACATTGATGATGATATCCTGCTTGGATCAACTGATAAGTTGAGCCAACTATAAAAATGATATTGTTTGGGAGATATTTTCCAAATTAATTTTGACTCCATACTATGTTCAATCTGTACATTGATTGAGACAACAGATTTGTAATCATTTGATTCAACTCTGTGTTATTTATTATCTAGTTTCAAGTTGTTTTTGTGAATCACTGTGTAGCATTCTGTTTTATTAGAGTAGTTACTAAGCTTGTGTTTCCAATATGTACACCCCAAAGATGACCTGAAATAGGGAATACCTCCAAATTGTACTCAAGTATTAGCTTTTTTAAGATTATTTATTCATACAGATCTGGGATATAGTCCAGAGGTGTAGGGGCGGTGAGAGGATTCACCAGAGACAGTGTGGGGAGCAGAATAGGCAGATCGACAAAGCACACTGCTGAGGGGACAGTGGGTGAGACGGCAGAGGTCTGCTGTGCCATGTGGGTCACCTTTGGGGCTGGGATTGCACTCACACTGAAGTGGCTGCAGCTAGCTTGCAGTACTGCATTTTAACCCATTGTGCCACCAGAGAGGCCCCAGTATTAACTTTTTAATTTAATGGTTTATGATTAACATTATTTAGCTTTTCCTAAATTAAATTGTTAAAAGTTTTACCTAGAAAATATAGTGAGCTTTCTCCATTAAGTCATACATGAACATGGATTGAAAATAAATAAATGCCTGAGAATTAAATGGTGGTGATAGTTAACTTTGTAGAGATATTTAAACCCTGAAGTCTACTGTCAGCTTAATAATGTTCATATATTAATTATATTTTAAAAACATTAGATTGTCTGTAACTTTGAAAAACTCATCTATGAACTAAGTTTTTGAAGTAAATGATTGCAAAGGGAGCAATCTAAGAGTGTTATTATATCTTTTGAGAATAAAACACAATAACTTGCTCTGACAGGTATTTTTCCTAGACTAGAAGGAGACAAATTATGACATGTTTTTAGAAAGTTATATTTTAACAGAATCTGTTTCGTTTATTTAAATATTATCTATGCTGATTTTGCCAGCAGAATTGAATAACTGCAAGACAAACATTATAAAGGACAAAGTCTAAAAAGTTTCCTCTCTCATTTGTTAGAAAAAGACTTGGTAGACATTGTCCCATAGTTTTAGCTTTCATAAAGAAAAATAAAAATGTTGGGATCAGTTAATTAGAAACCTTACTCATAAGGTAATCAAAAAAAGAAAAGGTTTTTTTGTTTGTACTGTATAATTTTTGAGAGGGTGGGGAAAGTGAGGTTTGTTGCTATGTTTCTCACATGACGTTTCTCACATGACATAAGGACATGACAGATGTTCCATACTAACATAAATGTGGGGAGTGATAAGAAAGAAACAATTTCTTTACCAAGATTTAGAGGTTATCAAAACCTGGGTTTGGAAACTAATGTCTGTTTTTAGTTGACACTCATACCTATGCTGTATTTTAAAATACTGATTTAATATTTAATTTCTATTTGGGAAAAACAAAAGTTCTGAATTTGCGATTTCTTTTTTTGTGTGTCATCATTTCCAATTAAAGCAATGATTTTTTCTTTATGAAGAAATATTTACAACTCAATTGTTTATAGAAAACTCAAGGAATAGAATAGATAGCACTTCTCTTATTATAAATTATGTATAAAGAGTAATACAATGAAAAAACCATGATATTTTACCTGCTATATCTTGTTATTAAAAACCCTGTGGTCACGTCTATAGCACTACATTTAAAATATTATCAGATTCTACAAAATGCTTTAATGCATGTATAATTCTTTTCCCATGGATGGCAAAACATAAATTATTTAAATCTAACTGTTGTGAGGAAAGGACCTGCTGATACAAATGAATGCGACCACTACAACGCAATTTCACAAGAATTTCACTAGATGGCAGCATCTTAAAAATAAAGAAAAAACTAATAGTTCTTCAAAACTTCTCTAAAGCCATCAAGTTAATATGCTGATTATTTTACTGCTAAGAATAGGTGAAGTGTTATGAGTAAGTGAAAATATTCACTCCACAATTGAATGTCTACTTTATGCATTTTGAAAAATAGAAATCAAACATTTTGCAAGAGTTATATTAAAATTACCCACAGGAGCTCTCACTTATATTGATACAACCACATAGCAGCATAACAGTGTTCAGCCACTGGATCAGTTTGCTTTATAGTCAATCTGAAGACGATTGAAGTCGTCTTGAAACATTCAGAATACTTCCAGTCTGCCTTCCTTAAATTAACTTTTTAAATCTCACATTTGATAATCAGATTCTCCATTAACTTCAGAATGTAATTCACGTTACATAAAGCCATTTATGATCTGATCCTTTCTAGCTAGCTTTCCTGTTTCAGATGCCTCATGTCTCCTTCCTTTTATTTTTTTTTTTAGCAATCCCCTTTCTCTTGGCTATTATTTCCCTCCTTATTGGCTGGTAGCTCAGATTTTGACCACAAAAGAACTTCAGTGGAAAGATTAGATTCCTTTGCCCAAATCTCCCCTGTTCTCATCTTCCTACCTATTAGCATATTGCTTCATGTAGTAGTTTCTTAATCTTGCCATCTTCTACTTTTACACAATATAAACTAAAATAAGTGTTTATTAAACAACCAAATAAACACATAATACAACTATATAATTATAAATATTCTCCAAAATGATGTCAAAAAATTAATACTTTTTGAGGCTCTTTATCTTTTGCAGTTTTATTATCTACATTATATAGCTTTAAAATGAAGTTTCTTGGACAAATTAAGGTAGTTAAAATATGTGCAAATTCCCTCTTTATAAAACAAGGAAAATCCAAAGCTTTTGATCTTGCCATCTTCAGTGACACAGCATTAAATATTTTTCTGACCAGTGAAATAATTCTATGCAGAAAGTTTCTGCTGAGATTTCCAGGAAAAGTGATAACAATGAAATATGGCATGATACAGCACAGGTTTGTATCCTAGTGGCATTAAAATTCTGATAACTTTATTGATTCATTATGTCAGTATTTGATTTTGGGTTGATATTATTGACTTGTAACTCCTTCATCAAAAAAAAATTCCTTTAAATTA